TTATGCAACGCAATGATTCTCAAAGCAATACAAAAACAATATGCAGGGTATCATCAATGAATAATGTGGCAAAGCAATATAACACAACATATCAAAGCATCAATCAGCATAACTGGGGGGAGGGGAGAGGGAAGGATGCAATGCAACTCAGTGCAATTGCGACTACTATCATGAATATGGGATGGTGTGAAGGTGTTTCTTTTACAAGCCATGCACAGATACTGTGTTTTATGGGAGTGTGGGGAAAACCTTTTCACTTGAAGTCAGAAACTTGGACAATGCCGTTTGAATTGTAGTTGTAAAAATAGAATTTCCAAGATCTGATAAATGAACACAATCGAGGAATAATTTGGGCTGATCAATTCTAATATCTGGGTAACGAATGAGGGCCCCATTTAACTTTTGCACAACAAAGCAACCAATGGAATTATTTATTCTTTTTCTAGATTTCTCTGCAGCTTCGCTCGAAATTATGTAACGCCAGTATTTGCGAGGAAGTATATTTGACCATACAAGAAGAGTGTTTGGTAATTTTTTATGAAGGGAGGCAAATAATGATTTCATGGCTATTTGTAATTTTTTAAGGGACTGAATGCCAATACTGTTGCCACCACAGTGAACTATTAGAACTTGAGGAATGATTTCATTATGGCGATTTAACAAACTAGCAATGTGTTGATCAAGTTGCTCCCATTTTAGTCCCCCAGATCCGGACCAGGTTACATCTATGTTTAAGTGCTCCAGAGACAAGTTTTGGCCAATTGGTGAACGTGTGCAGTAATCTTCAGCTCGTCTGATGATGGAAGATCCAACAATCCATACTTTGCAGCGAGTTCCTGCAAACTTAGCTTACAGTTAGTAAGACTGACTATCTACAAGACTACAGTATTAGGGCGAACATATGACTTAAAAGCGTTGGATTTCCATCTACCCATGGTTTTGATTTCTTGCTCTGGAGTACCTTGCATATACAATGAAGTTGCAGCCCCTATGCGAAATGAATGGGATTTGAATGTTGATATATCAAGTTTGAGGAATGATAGAGCTTTCTTTAGTATTTGATTGAATTGATAGTAAGTCAAGGGTGAGCCATCCATGTGGCACAGAAACTGTGATGTTTGAGTTTGTGATGGTCTATGGGTCGCGTACTCTAGAATGTTGTGGAATAGGACTTGATTGTGCTTTGTACTGTTAATGTGCATTGTTGTGCCCTTGCCATGCTGATCTGTTTTAGTTTTCCCTAAAGTGATCTGAATGGATGATTGGGATATTGATACATTTTCTATTGATAATGGGGAACTGTGGGTATTTGCCCTAGTGGTGGTTATTTCACCAACTCGAAGTAAAGCAAAGAATGCGAGCCCATATGCTGAGGAGAACAGTAATTTTTCATAATAATTGCGACACACATGTTACAGCGAGTCTATTAACTTGACTAATAGGGGAAATGTTATCGGGCTTCTTGAATCTTTTCTATGTTTTAGTTGTTTAAAGCCATTTAGCATTTTCTTAACTATGAAAAATTGGCATGGGTCTGGGAAATTACCAAGTTTTATGTTGAAGCTTAAGCCAGCTAGGTAGGTTTTGGCTGTAGAGTATGTTGTCCCCTTTGAGGATAGGTAAGCAATATAGTTAATTAATTGGTCTATGGGAGGGGGCCATACTTCTGTTAAGTTAAATTTTTTTCTAAATTGTGCAAATGAGTCAAGACCTTTCTGGTATATTTCTTGAGTGTTATGAGAGACTGATGCTGAGAGTAGTTGTTCTACTTCCTGCTCAAATGGTTCCAGAATTCCAGAGGAACTTGGCAGGGATAATAGTCTGCATGGGGGGCCAGCTTCCTGAACTTTTGCCACTGAAAACGAGATATGGCATCAGCTATAGAATTAGAATGACCTGGTACATGTTCGCAGCGGACTTGGATATTGTATTTTAATATTTTATAAAGAAAAGGCCTGAGGAGGGACATAACTCTTGGTGACTTTGATGTTTTTTGGTTGATTATCTCGACAACAGCCATGTTATCAATGTGCAAGATTATTTTTCTGCCTTGTAGTTTGTGGCCCCATATGTATATTGCAAGGGCGACTGGGACTAGCTCCAGATAAGTCAGATCTCTACAATCGTGTTGTGACCATTCTGAGGGCCATTGTAGGTAGGACCATTGTGTACCAAATATGACCCCACACCCAAGTGAACCAGAGCTATCAGAGGATATGTGAATAGTGTCTTTATCTGACCAGTGAATATCTGGGAATACAGTTGTGCCATTAAAGTCAGACAGGAACTCGAGCCATATATCTACATCTTCGCGAAGTGCCCTTGAGATAGTGATATAATGGTGTTGTTTGTATCCCTGTGATAGGCTGTCATAAAATCGCCTACAAAAGGCTCTCCCTGCAGGTATTGCCTTAGAAATAAATGCCAAAGATCCAACTAATGATTGCATTTCTTTAAGAGTAATTTTGCGACGCGAGGCAACGTTTTGAAGTTGGGCTTTAAGGGCGTCGACTTTATCTTTAGGGACAAATATAGTTTGGGTGATGGTATTAATCCCTAACCCTAGAAATGTTAAACAAGTTGTAGGACCTTCAGTTTTTTCCTCTGACAGAGGAACGCCGAGCGTTTCACAAGTTATGTCAAATATTTGCATGAGGTTTTTGCACACAAGGGTGTTTGCAGGGCCTGCAAAAAGGAAATCATCAAGGTAGTGTACTAATGTGTCAATATTGGCTCGATCTTGAACAATCCAATGGAGGGCTGTTGCAAATTTTTCAAATGTAGCACATGCTATAGAGCAACCGAATGGGAGGCACTTATCGAAATAATAGTTGTTAAAATAAAAACCAAGCAAGGAAAAATCCTCGGGGCGAATAGGAAGGAGTCTGAATGCACTAGAAATGTCTTTTTTCCCCAATAAAGCTCCCTTGCCTAGTTCTTTTATCATTCTTACTGTCGAGTCAAATGATGTATAATGAACGGTGCAGAGATCTGGGTCTATAAAGTCATTAACACTATTTCCCTCTGGTGCAGATAAGTTACAAATCATACGCCACCCCCCTTGCTTTTTGGGAACAATGCCTATTGGGCTACACTTGATATTTGACATGGGGATATTCTTGAACGGCCCAGCTACTCTACCTAATTTAACCTCTTGATCAATTTTTTTCTTGGAGCTGCTGTGAATTTGTTTGTGCAGATTTCATGTTTTTAGATTTTTGATATTCCCGTATACCCGAATAACAAATGTTGAAACCATATTGAAAACCATTGATTAATTCATGAGCAATATGTTGCAAGGGGTAGTCTTTTAGCATTGATTTTAGGATGTTAACGTTGACTGGGGTTGGGGCCAAGTCCCAGAGGCCTTGGTTGGTTTGGGGGGAACCCTCTACTCTGAAATCTGCTTGGGGGCTGGCGGGGATGTTCGGCTTGGGATGGGCGAAAGTTTTCTGTGCGAAATGCCTGACTGTTGTGCCAGCGGCAGTTTATGAGTGGGTGATTATTGGAGCATTTAATGCAAGCATGTTGATAAGTGCAGTATGGTCTTCCGCATGTGCCTTTGTAATTGAAGTCAAAGCATTTTGGCGATTTAGTTGTATAATTTGGGGTTTGCTGTGATAGAGTGTTGTGGCCATGAGACACATACAAGAGCCATAATTCTGCGTCGACACACCCCCAGTCGAGAGTATGGTTCCTGGAGCGCTTTAGTCTAAACTGTATGTCATAATTGAGCCAGTTTAAGTTTGATGATCGCTGTGCAGCAGTGCGTATGATGTTAATGTATTTAAGGATTGATTGAATGTGTTCAGGGAACTTAGTCAAGTAAATGCTGCTGAAAATGAGGAAAGCATTTGTCCATGTTTCAATTGAAGTTATTTTGATTTCTTTATGCTTAGCCTTTAGCACTAATTCGCCAGCAACAAATGCGAGCTGTTGCTGGGGCTCGTCATTTGGTTTGAGAGGAAGTAATTTATGCAAGTGAATGAATGCATTATCATATATGTTTTGTCTCAGGTTGTCTGGGACATGGACGCCCAATGCGTCTGAAACGCTACATAATGAATTTGGTGTTGTTGCACTTGAATTAGTTAATGTATTAGTGCTGCCTGAAGTACCTGTAGATAGCATTGTTGGCGATGCCTCAAACTCTAAGGGGTCAGGGATGTCTATTCCTGAGGAAGTTGTAGGCTGGTTTGATAAGGCTGGAGGTATGGCGTCAGGAGTGACCTGGTTCGGTTGAGTCACGGTGCTTGTAGCAGTGGTGACCTGGTTCGGTTGAGTCACGGTGCTTGGAGGCCTGGATGCTTTGGCCTTTTTGGTGGCAGCTGGAGCTCGGCCGGGCCTGGCATATGGAGACTTTGTAGTCCTTTTTGCACGGAGCATGTTTCTATAAAACAAACAACTGTGTAACTTGTGTTTAACATATACATAATTTATTATTATTATTATTAATTGCTTATATATTTATAAATTTTTACTATTAATGTTTTTTTTTTTTTATTTTTTTATTTTTTGTTTGAATCTGAGATTGTGAATTATTAACATCGTTTACTAATTATGAATGATCAAATTATATGTAGAGTTAAAGCCCTTTTGTTTAACGTTTGGCATGCCGCCATTAACGGATGGTGATGATGAATATTGATCCAGCAAAATCTGCTGACATCTTAAGTGCTGAGGCAAGGGAAACGCCCAATTCGCTTCCAATGCTCACTAGATGTTTAATACATACCGATGACCGGTGGAACGATACCTGTACAATATAGTAATCCACGTAATGGGTTGCAACTTGGAGGTGATTTTTCTGTTGATACTGTCTGATCAAAATCGTCGAGCGAAGAGGATGTGTGCGCAAGCGCATTTAAGGCTTGGGGCTATTTTGGAAATTTGGTTGAGGACAGGGGAGTTATCGCGCTTAGGCTATTCTTCTTCGATAACTGGCATTTACCGCACATGGCGGTAAATGCAAATAACTTCTCACAATATAACTCTTTCGTTCCTGGAGGTAATTTTAGTGTTTATAGGAAAACAAACAGACCTGAGTGCGAAAGGTTAAAAAATGGGTAGTGTATATTCAACATTTTTCATGTTTCTGTTTTGATTAATGTACATAACAGTGTGCAGAACATATATATGCGTACATGAGAGGTAATATGGTCATCCATTTTATACTTCGTCGGTAAATATTGGTCGCTAGTCAGAAGCATCACAAAAATGCGTTGCAAAGATTGTGAAAGAAGAAAAAAAAATCACAATAAGTGATTTCATGCACCTGAGGTATCCACTATGTAGTTTTAAAAATAATATACTAGTATATAATACAGATAAATGTTGCTATGATGTTCAACTCTTCCAAAGGCAGTAGCTTGTCCCTGACCTTGTTTTGTGTTTGTCTTGTGATGCATCTGCTTCATACTGTTATATAATCGTACACTGTATAAAAATTACAAGGCATAAAAGATTTCAAGGAGATTTAAAAAAAAAAGCTCCTTTAATGAAATATAAAAGAAACACAATTCAATCAGAATTCAATAAAATATTGCACACTAGAATTTGTGAGAAAACGATTCTTATTATGCGGTCTTCTGCATAGCAGTGATTAGAGCATTTGCTCTAAAGTTGCGGAATAAAAAGTTGATCCGCCAATTTTTTGTCGCTCACTTTGGGTATTATTTCTTGTAGTTTATGCTCTCCTTCATTCTTAGAATGGTATCCGATTATTAATCATATATTTTACTCAAATTATTGATACTTTATTTACCTTTCAATGGTCCTAAACAATCCTCTGTGGATTTGGGAATGTCGGTTTAAAAGATTTTCTATGTCCACATCCATGAATGGCCCTTCTTAATTATTAGATATCATTTATAAAGCTGGGGAAAAAATAAATAATAATGAAAAATACATGAAGTGAGGGACAAAAAATCGGCGGCATAAATCGAAGGTTTTTACAACACATGGATCTGTAGCTCTCTGCTTTATCTGTCGGAATTTTCTCAAGCGAAGAGCTACAGTTCTGCAGCTAATCCCCGTGCAGGATGTGCAAACTAGCTCTTCAGATGAGACCATACAAACTGAGATCCTGTGTTGCATTAGGTGCTAGCACAAGAAAAAAGATCCCTCTTTGCTCATGGTCCTGAGTGCCAGTTTAAATTTGTACCTTTCCACCCTCAACTGGCAATTGTGAATGAAAAAGTCTCAAAGGGGACATTAAACAATTAACAAACAAAGAAACTACATGTAACTTAAATATTATGCATATACTATTGACAAATCATAGTTAATTAGTTACATGTACATAGAGAATGGGGGACAATATTGCAAGTTGGTAAGAAATTCAACATAACATGAACTCTAGGAAAGCTAGCTCATAGCTGAGACAAGCCTTATATATAATGGTAAAATATTGAGGGGGGATTCAAAATTGCCTGTCTGTATATTTTGAAATGGATCAACTCTCCATGTGAACAGCTAAGGCATTGTTTATAGATCCTTTCCAGTTTAAACTGTTTCTACTAAATTGACTTTAAAATTATTTATGATAATTTTAGATTAAGACTTTAGACATGTCAATGTTCCACTTAAAATTTTCAGTAGTATTGAAGCAAAAAGTTTTTTTTTTCAGAAGCTGTATAATGCAATTGAATTCAACAACTAAGTTCTAACTTTGGAATAATTATTAGATAAGAAAAAAAAGATAAATAAATATGACTGTAATTTCAGGTTAAGTTTTGAATTCGAATTCATCATTGGAAAAATTCCAAACATAATGGATAAGTATGATGAAGATATTTATGAGAATCCCTTCTTTACAACACTGCAAAGTGAATTCAGCAAGCTGTATGAAGAAGTAACCTCGCTAAGATGCACGGTATAGTATTTAATTTATGATGTACATGCAAGTTTTTCTAATATCATAGATTATACATTTAACCAGAATATTTCCAGGTTCAGCACTGCTAGGGTTAAAACTTTAAAGATGTAAGTATACCCTGTACATATATGATATCGATGATTTCTACTTCTGGTGTGCTTTAAACCATTATACTCTAAAATTCATTTGCAGATTATTCAATTGAATACATGTAGTTTAATTCCTAATGTTGGGTTAGCATGTGTTGAATAAAGTATGACAATTACAAACAGTATTCAAGCTCAAAAGTCTATTCAAACAACACAAAAAACAGAGGTAGAGCAAAAACCTACCTCTAAAAACATCAGAGGTGGGATCAGGTGCCACAAATTACCAGGGTAATAGCAAAGCATGCTACCACAGGTTTTGCATGTACAACTTTATAACATGTTAGAATGATATATTTTGTAGCTCTGCATTCCACAGTATTCTGTGGTGGAAAAAGAGAAAATATCAGAGGAAGATTTGAGAGATCATATATTGACAGCTCAGGGAGACAGTGGGGTGTGGAAAACATGGTCAGATAAGGTGAGGGTTCAATTGTGATGTAAAAACTTTTTAAAAGATAAATTTTATTTAAGGTGAATTCTTATGTCATACATGTACTTGTATCACCACTCAGAAATTCTCAGTATCTGTCATGATTTGAAGTGTATGAATCATTTTGTAACTGAATTGTTTACATATAAAGTACTTTGCATAAAATTAATAATCTTTAGTAGCTAATCTTGTTTTTTGTCATTCTTATCCATGAATTAACTTAATGAAATTAATAAATTTAATGGCATTTTCTTCTTTTGTAAAATTCTAAAGGCTGTGAAAATAGAAGAAAATCAAGTGAAGATATTTCTAGGTCAGGAGGAAAACAAAGTGAGTACTAGCTGGTATCTCATAAGTAAAAGTTAATTTGGAAAAAAATTTAGGGAAGCAAATTAATACTATACATTTTTGACTAGAATAGCTAAAATAGATATGCAAAATGGTATCATTCATTTTTGTGATAAATTTACAAATATATGAGAGAGATATTGCATATATTTTCAATGATTTCCTGATTATGAATTATTAGGGAAGTAAAACCTTTGTGCCATTCAATGTTTAATTTCATAAATGATGACTTCAAAGGAATATTTTTGTGAAATATAAATTCAGACAAAGCCTGTGAAATTAATATTCAATGTATGCCTTTAACACTAGACAACCAAAAGGCCATGCAGTTTTATACAAAAAAATCTTTTCAGGTCAATATATTGTTTGAAGAAGCATTCTACAACAACAATGATGAAAGCTACCAAGTTCTCTGCATTGAACATTTCCTCAACAGACCTCATTCTGGTATTATTAAAGGGGTTTTCAACCCTGAGCATATTTTAAAGGGCATAATTTTTCATAAATACAAAATGCATACATTATTTATTTTCACCATCATGTTTTTCTTTCCTCCTCTTCAGAAATTTTATTCATTGCAACATGAAAATTTTCAAGTGTTGCAATATTTGATGCATAGTGCATGCATTGTTCTACTGTAAATTCCTAAATATACACTTAGAATTAATTATCACGTAAGTTCGCGAGAAACAAAACTCGCGAAATAAATTTACTCGCTTTTATTTTTATGGTGCTAAAAACAATGTAAAATCCCTTGATAAACCGTCCATTTGCGAATTATCATTCTCGCGATTTGACTTAAAGAGGCCTTTCACGATAAAAAGTACCCGCGAAAAATAAGGAATATACAGTATTTCAAATACATCAAGTATTGTCTATTTATACCTAAACATTATTTCTAAATAGGAGGAAATCAGCAAACAGAGAAGACTGTTCAAGAAACTATACCAAGGTCTTTTGAGCAGTGTAAAGCTTTCCTTTTTGGTAACCATGGTAAGAATGAAATATTGTTGTCAAATTCATCAAAGTTGATAAAAATAATGAAAGAGGAAAACCCTTTCCATTTGCCACTCTAGACTACTGCAAGTCGTGTTCTTAAAATCTTACTTTCTTATAGGAGGAAAGAGACTTCAAGACACTCTGGACAGACAATTGGAATCATTCTGCAAACAATACAGAAATTTGGCCTCTGGGAAATTTATTGTCATTGTGGTAGGGAGTCAATTTAACATTCAGTTTTCATAATCATATGTATATAAATTTTAAAAGTATAAAATTTATATGATTATGCTTTTATGGTTAATAAGTAAATGATTTAGCAGCATATCTTTATTATAGTATCTCAATATAATGTTTAAAATGGATTTCTCAACAGGATTTAGGTAACATTCTCAAAAAAACTGTCACTTTTGTGTGCATGCAGCACTAAAAATGATTTTTTTTAAAACATGTAAACACATTTGATAGAGATGTAGACTAACAGAGTAATGTAGAATTGTTCTTTATTAGTTTATTTATATAACTTCAAATGTACTTTAATTTCACTTTAATATATTTTACTTAAATTACCTCACAAAATTCTATTTTAGGAGGTTGCCAGTACTCAGTTTACAAAGGCAATGCAGACTGTTCTAAAAGATTCATCAATTGTAAGGCAAAAATAAAAAAAAAAAGTGTTACAGTAATTTTCAAATAATATAAAATATACACTGAAGTATGTACTACATGTAAAAATATATTATCAGCATGCATGCATGCAAGAAAAAAAGAATCCACTCACTTAAATTACTTTGTAAATTAATATATTGATTTCATTTTCACATCTTTTTCGTTTTAAAAAAGAAATTATTGTGAAAAAGTACTGTTATATGCGGCATTCACATGTAATTAACTCCCTTTGTTTATCCAGCGTAGAAGAGTCCATGAAAACAAGAAAGAAATGGACATGCTGAAGTCAGCAGTTGAGGTCAGCTTTTAATTCTAGTCATTCATAATGGTGTTATTTTTTTTTATCATAGCTTTGATCAATGTGTTAGCAATTTTAGCACTGACAAATTATTCTATATTTCTGATATTGAATTTAGACTATTGCAAAGATAACTTTTCCCTGACTTATTACTTGTCTGAATGAACAGCATTATATTTATAATGTTTATAGTATAATATAGGGTTAGTGAATTTATATTGGTGAATATTGGCACAAGTTGTCTGCACAAATGCACCAGCTTGCGAATGCATTTTACAACCGATGAGATAAACTGGAAATGATCTAGGTCAGGATATAATTTAATTATGTTTTTGAAAAAAAAATGTTTAAACATGCTTTTATTGTAGGTGTACATGATGGTCAGTGTTCATCGTGGATTGTTTCAAGCCATTCAGACAAACCTGACAGGAGAGGATGCGGAAGTAAACCGGTGCGCTCGTACTCTGTCTGACATCAAACTGGATGACCTGGGTGTCCGTCACGAGTTCATGTCTAACATCAGACTGGCCAAGAAAGAATTACAGAGCATTAACAAGTTTTCTACTCCTCTGGGTCGACTTCTGTGTTTGAAAAGAGTTGTGTCCAACCTTAGCACACCAACTAAAGATATGGATAAGAAAGGTGCAGTGATTCATTTTGAAAATTGAATGAATGGGTACAGTGTACCCCACTGTCAGAAAGCAATGGGTCAGAACTCAAAATCAATGGGTCAGAATTTTAACAACTATGAATGTGATATCAAGCCAAGTTCTTTTTCTTCAGTTACCGTATTTGGCAGAATATAATACGCACTTTTTTCCTAAAATAAAATTTCTGTAAGAAAGGAGCGCATACTTTACATGTAAATGGGATTCTCATATGTTTTTCTTTCAGGTGAAACATGGCTATCATACGTACATGTACCGTGGTATTACCTATAAAGACATATGTGTAACTTCTTTTGTTTATCGCCATATTTTAATATAAACTTATTTATTGTTGAGAGTATGCTTGTTAAAAATGTCATTTTCATAACCTTTTGCTACTATAAAGACATGAAAAAGCAAGTTAAAATTAATTTGAGCTGCATGTTTATTGTCTCCCCGACTCTCCGTGTAGGCCGCCATTACCAATGTTATTTTTAGACGTTCACTCCTTCCGTAATAATCAGACAAAGCAATGTCTTTTTTTTTTAATGAAATACAATAATAAAAAAATATTTTTGGTTGTAAATAACTCGGTGAAAATTCACTGCAACATAAACACCCTCTCTACGTACCAATGAAAGGAAGTCAATGTTTTAAGCACGTGCCCTGGTCACTTGATAATTATCTCCCAACACCCCTCCAGGCAATTAATTGTCTACCAACTCCAAAGCAATGTATTTACAGTTAGATCACTGATTTTTTACTGTCCTTATAATTTGCTTTGATTTTTAATATTTTCTTTGTTAAAAATCGGGAAGGTTTATGACCAGCTTTCGTATACTGTGTCAGCGGCTGAGCGCATGTTAATTACGACATATTAAACATTTAAACACTTGTTAAATGTAATTTTACCGTATTTTATATTTAAGCCTTTTGTTTAAATGATTTATAGAAGACAAATGAAATATGAAGTATGCTAAAACGTGTTGCAGTTGTTCCGAAAAACAGAATGAACGATAAAAATAGAAACTGGAAACCTCGATTCTATTTTATCATGTTTATGCGGGTTATCGATCACTTATGCGTATTTGGGACGCACTGGACAAAAACCAATGGGTATTTAATGAATTTAATGCGTAAATTACGCAATACGCAGGGCAAAATGAATCACTGAAGGTGATAAGACAGATTCATGATAAACAAATGTAACTGTATCTACATTTGGAACTTATTTCTTTGTATTTCTCAGAAATGCTAGTATTGGGTATGTGTATTGTCTTATGTTCTCTGCAGAGGAAATTTGTTCACAACTCAAAACATTGATTGAAAGTTTATAACTTTGTAAATACTGTATATGGGGAAATTTTTGCCCCCGTTTTATTTTCACCCCCTTTCCCCCTCCCCTTGATTGGGCGAATTTTAAACGGGGCGAATTCAAATTACATCTCATAATTTCTTAAACAGAGCTATGACTGGGCGAAAATAAAACGGGGCAAAATTGGTCACAAGTTCAAAAGGGCGAAAATAAGACGGGGTGAAAATAACCCTGTATACAGTAGTACATTGTACATTTAGGTACATTTTCAAAAAAAAAAATAATTTTATATACTGTTAGTCTGTACTGGGAGGGGGGGGGGGGAGGGGGGAATCACTTACTGTGCAAATATTCACATTTATTTTAGCACTATACACGGCATCAGTGAATTCAAGAAACTGTGAATAAGTAGACAAAAATGTTATTGTGTTATTTTTTTTTTACTTTTAGTTCAGACTACCAGTTAATATTAATATAAAAGAGTAATTCATTAATTACAAATGAAATTTGTCATTTAACCCTTTTTGATAACAGTCAAAGGGAGATAACTTTTACTTTACACCATAATTGTTTAAACAGCGGTCATGCCATATAACAGGAAAAAAAAAACCCCATAAATTACAACCAGTGAAATTAAACCCTTATTGAGTACTTAAATTTTAATATGTTTCAGTGTAATTTTTCTTTTAAAAAAAGAATATATTTCATAACTGACTATGGAAGTCACAAGTATACATGTTTGTTATTGCTGCCTGGTTGGAAGTTTTAAAAGTACAAGTAATATTGTCCAATGAAATCTCATTGCATAAGGGAAACATAAAGACATAAACATGGAAGATTTTTAGATATTGGAAAAACTGTATATGAGTTACAGTAGTCTACACCAAATATTAAAATGTTTTGTAATATCTTTTCTTCTTCACAGACACCTCATTGATGTTGACTACAGATGAATTTCTCCCCATTATGATTTACCTCCTAATCAAGTCTGAGATTCCAAACTGGTAAACATTGAATTATATATGCTTTACATTTTAATCACTTTAACTCATTAAAAGGGTAAAGAAGAAGGTACAGTTTCAATACAAATTAAGCCCTATATTTTTCTAAAATATGAAAGTGATATAAAAAATCAAAATTCATTCTTTCTGAATCATATGAATTCTCCGCAGTAAGAATACACAAATGGTTTTTCTCATATGACTTCCTAAATGCTAATTGTGACGTCATTAATTGTGCATTTTCCCGTATTTTCTTAAAAAGTTGCAGAAGACATCAATTTTCAGTGGAATTTTCTTTCAGAAAACATACTCTGCCACCGTCGCCCGGAAAGATTTTGAGATATGTGATTTTTCATAGCAGTTTACACAATATATCCAAAAATTAAAGTGGGCGACGGTGGCAGACACTATTTTCTAAAGGAAAATTAGCAGAGAAATGAGTCATTTTGAAGCTTTTCTGCATTAAACTTAGAAATGTACCAAATTAATGACGTCATATTTCCAGAAAGGTCCTCCTTTATGCCATATTCTTTAATGATCTATCATATTCATCTACTCAACTATTAAAGGCAATTTCATAACTTTTTAAGAACATTAAATTTTTAGGGCACAATAAAGCTCAAACCGTACCTTCTTCTTTGTGTTAAATGCTTAAATTTTTAGCTTACCTGAGCCGAAGGCTCAAGTGAGCTTTTCTGATCACATTTTGTCCGGCGTCCGTCTGTCCATCTGTCTGTCCGTCTGTCTGTCTGTCTGTCCGTAAACTTTTCACATTTTCGACTTCTTCTCAAGAACCGCTGGGCCAATTTCAACCAAACTTGCCACAAAGCATCCTTGGGTAAAGGGGATTCAAGTTTGTTCAAATGAAGGGCCACACCCTCATTCAAGGGGAGATAATTGAGAATTAGTGAAAATTTGGTGGTATGTTTTAAAAATCTTCTTCTCAAGAACCACTGTGCCAGGAAAGATGAAACTTATGGGGAAACATCCTCAGGTAGTGTAGATTCAAGTTTGTTCAAATCATATCCCCCGGGGGTAGGGCGGGGCCACAATGGCTGACCAAAGTTTTACATAGAAATATATAGGAAAATTCTTTAAAAATCTTCTTCTCAAGAATGACAAAACCATAATTCATCAAATTTATATGGAAGCATGCTCAGGTAGTGTAGATTCAAGTTTGTTCAAATCATGACCCCCGGGGGTAGGGCGGGGCCAAAATGGCTGACCAAAGTTTTACATAGAAATATATAGGAAAATTCTTTAAAAATCTTCTTCTCAAGAATGACAAAGCCATAATTCATCATATTCCTATGGAAGCATGTTCAGGTAGTGTAGATTCAAGTTTGTTCAAATCATGACCCCCGGGGCAGGGCGGGGCCAAAATTGACCAAAGTTTTACATAGAAATATATAGGAAAATTCTTTAAACATCTTCTTCTCAAGAATGACAAAGCCATAATTCATCATATTTATATGGAAGCATGCTCAAGTAGTGTAGATTCAAATTTGTTCAAATCATGACCCCCTGGGGTAGGGCGGGGCCAAAATGGCCGACCAAAGTTTTTAAAGATATATAGATAGGAAAATTCTTTAAAAATCATTTTCTAAAAAATAGCAAATCCATGATTGGTCATGGGACTACTTTTGGATTTAAACTTTACAATAAAAAGCCATTTTCTACTTTTTCCTACCCTTAGTGCTCAGGTGAGTGATGTGGCCCATGGGCCTCTTGTTAAAGATATGGGGAGATGATTTTATAAACAAGCATTTTTGTTGTGAAAGGTATATAATATAAATCATTATTTGTTGAATTTATCTACATGTATATTTTTGGATAAATAACTAATTATGAAACCCCTCAATGACACCTTAAGGTAGGTCGCGGGTTTGCTTTTGTCATCATTTTTGGTACACAATTTTGACGATCCGAGCAATTGTTTTGTGCACATTTGATTATGACGTCAATGAGGTCACAAAGGCGACGTTGCGTTGTTTCCCGTTTAATTATCTGAGAATGACTTTATGAAGTCATGTACGAATTAAGTAGGTTATACATGTACAAAGTGCTTGCTTATTGTACGTAAACTTCGTACATGTATAATCCAAGAACTGTTAAAATTAAATTACGATCTGAAATTCTGATGTGATTAATATGTGTAATGGATTTGGAAAATTAAATAAAATACAAATGGGATAATTAATATCGTAAGTGAAAGCTTAAAAAACTGCTCAATTAAAGTCAATCAAAATGAGACAGCGTAAAAGTTGTTGTATACAAAAAAAAAAATAATCGTAAATAAAATGGCTAGGCCCAAAACTTGAAGGATTGTGAGTGCGCATTGACTTTATTTTTTCAACTCAAAGGGATAGCGCGTATACAAGTAGCACCATGATTGAATGATTGATTGTATATTGTTTAACGTCCCTCTCGAGAATTTTTTGCTCATATGGAGATGCCATCACTTGCCGATGGAGAGCTGCAAATTTTGTCCTATACTCGGCACGGGACCTCGGTTTATTCGGTCTCATCCGAAGGACTGGTCTCCACGTCCCACAGTTGGATTCGAACCCGCGACGTAAGGATCAACTCCTTACTTCGCGAATCTAGAGCAGACGCTCTTACGACTGCGCCACGCTGGCGACTGTAGCACCATGACTGCAACTGCAAATCAAAACCGGGGCAAAAATATTTGTATACACGTATACAAGATGAAATCAATCCTCAACACTAAAAACGAGGTAAAATTTTATTACATGTATTTTACTTTTACATGTACTTATTATTATCATCATTATTACATGTGTTTGATTATTTTGCTTTTAAATCTCATGTAATTGCTATGTCTATGCTGACGAACAAATTGTAATTTGCGTTTTAAAAATAAATTTATATAAACAGCCGGACTATCAGTCCTATACGACACTGTAAACAATTTACAAGTTTCATTTTTTATAACAAAAGCTCTGACTGTGTGTATTTATATAAGCTAAATGGAAGTGTTTTACACTTTGCAATTTGATTAAGAAACTAGTAATTAGTATTAATAAAGAACATTGCCAGACCCCCCCCCCCTTCTCAATTACTCTCTTGGATGTCTTTCTTTACTTTTTATCGAAAAAATAAAGTGATAAAATTTATGTGTTATGCTTGAAATCTTACTGAACATGAACATCTTAAATATACAGTACAGGAAATAAAATTTTATCATTCGCGATGTTGTCGCTGCATGCTATTTCTCATGCACGACGAATGTTTATAAAGTTTATTCTGATTTTCAGAATATGAATTTCACAATATTAGTGTAAATAAGGTACTCGTTATCCTAATATGTATCCGCAATAAGTTAAATGATGAGTAAAATAACATTTTACATCTATATCATTCTTAGATCTTGCATATTCCAAATGTTTAAATTTTATACATTACGTACTGTTAACGTGGTTACGGTCAACATATGACGTTGTGGAGATAAATAACGCCATAAACGCAACATTTTGGCATTATAACAGCAAACTTTGAAATTATTTAGCAAAAAATCCAGCGAGAAGACATATAATTTTTTTTATATCAATAATTTTAATTTCACCTCATCTTGACATTTTGAAATTCCTGACTAATTCGTCTGCGTTTTTTAAAAGTTATCCAACCTTTTTAAAAGAAACTCTTTCTGCAAAATTGGCTTAAAAACGTCATTTTTCTATATATTTCAATAGTAAAGCGTAAAAAAAGTACTGAAAACTATGCCTTGTTTACAGATATATATCATTAAAACTACGTAGGCAAATTTAATAAAATTTGCAGATAATACGCTTTAAAGTCTAAGGAACATTAAATCAAATTTTCAGGATATGTTTTCTCGTGAGAATTTTTATGCAGTAAACCTGCGACCTACCTTAAAATACCATGTGTACTTTACTTAAACCTTTTTGCATGAATGGCATGTATAAATGTTCACAGTCTTTTTTATGCAATGCATATTTCTATGCAGGATGGCAAATCTAAGATATATGAAGGAATTTCACTTTTCAAGAGCTTATAATTTTGATGAATTTATGTGAGTATGATTAAATGTTTTCTTTTCTCAGTTTTCTTTCATTGGTAAAAGAACTTGAATTGTATATCTGATTTTGCAAAAAAACATCATCTTAATGTTAATTATTTTAACTTATTATAGCATAATTTAAATTATGCTTCTATGAGTGTGTCATGTTTTTGTAAACTCACCTATCAACTTTGTTGAGAATTACTGGGTATTCATTTGTATTCAAGGTTTTACTTGACCACTGTGGAAGCAGCTATTGAACACATAAGAAGTGGAGTTTTACAGAAAGAGGCCATCAAGTCATATTCTCTCAAGGTACAGACAAAGGAAACAGGCCATTATTTGCACAGACATAATGATTAGCTGATATATTAGTACAGAGTAATGTTTTCAGAATCTTAGGATGTAACTTCCATAACTTATATTCTCTCAAGGTATAGACACTGAAAATAGGCTGAAATTTGCATTAAAATGTATAATCAAACAGTTTGTGGTAACTGATGAATCACTTATAAATAATGCCGCGAGCATCTCAAAGATATACTTGTATAAAAAAAAGTCATTTTAGCAAACATAATAACCAGCAATTAGAAAAGAATCTCTGACCTTCTCAGTGATATAAAACTTCTGTAACACAAAATTTACAAAAAGATAGTTTGTCACTAATCCTGAAGCATTTTGCTGGGTAGGAATTAGCAGAGGCTGATGACTTAATAGAAATGATTATGAGAATTAAGTTCTCCATTGCTGATAAATGTCTTTGTTTTTTGTAGAAGAATCAGGTGAATCGGCAGTCTTCAGGCACGACAAAAAGTGTGGACAGATTCTTCAGTGTAAGCTTTATAGAAACAGAGTTTGTTTTTGTCTTTCTTGTCTCTCTAAACTTGGAAAAGTGACAATATTTATGTGAAGTACAGTAAAATATCTGCTGATTTATGAGAATATCTAGTGCAATAAAACTGCATAATACATTAAACTTGTTGAATACAGACACCACTGTTTCCTGAAAAATAAGCTGGATTAGACAACATTCTGGATGAGAAAACATTTTAACAGTTGAATTAACTAAACAGGACTTAAAATTTATATTGTATTAGACATTTTCAGAATTTCATAATACAGAAAATCAGGATTAGATAAGTTTCACTGTAGTTACACTGATTTTACTCACACTAGATATTAAAAGTTAATTGCTTTAGCTTAGGAATTATTTTCTGAACAAAAAATGAAGCTTGATTCATCTAGTTTGATTGTCAGAATGAAAATATCAAGTTACAGTCATGTTCAGAGTATTAGAATTAGAAAAATGCTAAATGTATTTGTTACAAACATGATTTATTCAGTGTGTGTAGGATAGTGATGAGCAGAAAATGGCTTAGAATATTACATGTATGTATACTTTTTCTAACCAGTATGTTGAGGGGGGAGATGAGGCAGCAGTGAGGGTGATGCTGGGGAAACCTAACACCCCCGGGGAGGAAATCATCTTACAGATGTGTCACCCTCTGTGTTCCTGTAACAAATGTCGCACACTGTTAAGGCAAAATCCAACAGAGAAAACTCTGGTTACAGCATACACACGCGATGACCATGGATACACAGGTACAGTATGCCAAATCAATGGTTTATATTAAAAATAGTGTTTTCATAATTCCATTGTAAAATGTGTCCAAAAAATTGACTGGCAACAAATGATTTTTTTTCTAAACAACTATTTCAGTCTAGTTAAGTCTCAAAACTGTAAAGAATTTTTTCTGGAGAAAATGAAAGTAAAGATTAAAAACAAGCTTTCATATTTCTGAGAGATAAAAGAAAAATGTACAATTTACATGTAGTGCAGATATGAACAAATTATGATCTTCACAGCTCTCCACATAGCAGCATTGCATGGACAAGCTCACCTTGTGGACCTTTTAGTTCAGCATGGAGCCATAGTCAATGCCAGTGATTATCTAGGATACACACCGCTCCATCTGGCTTGTCAGAAAGGCTATCAGAACATCATTGTAAGTGGCTAATTGGAGGCTTAGATGTAACTGCAAAGTGGAATAAAGTATGAATGAATGAACGGTCCTCCATCATAAACACTGGTTTTATGTAATCTATTGTTTCCTTTCCTCATAATGTACAATGAAGAAAGAGGTAAACTTCATAAGCTACAACAACTTTGAATTCATTCTTTCTCTTCAGCTTTTATTGATACACTTTGGTGCGGACTGTACGCAGACTGACGGTGTGGGTAACACCCCTCTCCATCTCTGTGTAGATAGTGGACATGAAGATGTAAGTCTTGTGTCATTTTGTTTATTCTTGTATTGTGAAGCCATCTTCAAATTATTAACAAATGTAAACAGATACATTATTATCGTATGCAGTAAAACATGCTTATATTGAACACAAATGCATTGACACATATAGTGAAGTGCTTTTCTTTTCCTTGAATTTTAAACAAAAACGTGAAGCTAATAGATATATAGAATTACATTTATAAGAAAGCAAAATTGCCCATCCCTGACACTTTGCTGTAATATGTTTTGATTTGAGAGCATATTAAATGCAATGTGCTTTAAAAAAATCAAGCAAATTTAGATGCATTAAATATTCAAATATCATGCTGTTCTTAGAAAAAGAATCTGACTCATTTTAAATCCTCTTGAGGCCATCTTAACATCCTGTGTACTTAATTTTCAAATTTGTCACATCTGTGAAACAAATTGAAAATCTCTTATTTTATGGCCCCAATCTTATATAAGGAACTCAAAATTCTTTTCATCACATCTAATTTATCAACTTTGTATATAGACTGGTTATGAGTCTAGTGTATTATATGTCTAAAGAATAATGTGTGACTATATTTTGCTGTTTATATTGTAGTGTGTGAAGGCTTTGGTGTTTACAGACAAAGTCAGGACTAAACTTGATGTGAATGCTCAGAATAATAGAGGGGACACTCCTCTACATTTGGCATCAAAATGGGGATATGGTAGGATAGCCACTTTAAATATACTTTTTTTTTTAACCTACCAGTCAAATATGACATACTTTGTTGGAATCTTATTTGTCTATTAAATCTAATAATGTAAAAGTAACACTTAGTAAAATCAAAATAAAATGAGTCAGAGGAAGTAGAGTTACATGTAGTACAACACATTTTTTTCAAGTCCTATATTGAGAAACAGAGAATATAATGTAGATTTTAATATCATCACAAATTTGTGTTTTAATCAAAAGATACCTTTCATTTTTCCAGTAAGACTAGTTGAAATTTGGGTAAACTATATGACATTTTCACAATTTCTAACACTGAACCTTGTTTCTATCTTGTTAATTAACTTACAATTCTATCAACACAGCTGTCTTGAATAATTTATTATTTTATTGTTATTTTATGCTTTACAGAATCGATCATCCAAATACTACTAGACAGCAAGGCCAGGACGGACATTAAAAACAGAAAGAAACAGACTCCATACAATATAGCACAGAATGCCCATATACAGAGGATATTTCAGGAGTATGAATTAATTCCCACAGTGCTGACAGAAAGGCAGAAATCGGAGGTCAGATCTTTATTTATTATATACCTAATGTGTATCACTCAATTTTACTGTTGATTTTACGCAATCATGTGATGTCGTGATTCGACTTTCCGGATCACCACACTGTGGTTTTCTGAATCCATATTGCTATATTAAGCTTGTTATAAGCAGGTATATCATAAATTTATCATTATAAAAGTAACTTGATCCGAAAGGTCGTATTACATCAAGTTGACAGGCGTGGATCATCAGATCAAATGAGACGTGAATACTGTTATAATAATATATTTGTACGAATAGAGTAAAATGTGTAGCATCTTCAATACTATGTTACTCAATTCATGTATCAGCTAACAACATAATAAAAAGAAGAAAGAAATTATACAGAGTATCATTTATAAATAGCAATGTCATTTAGTTTCAAAATAACTGGGTACACTCTGATGGGTCAAATTATGGAATACCAAAACTTTTTGGCGGTCAGCAGAAACTGGTATGGCAGCCACCAAATAAAATATTTTTTCTACCTGACACCAACTGGCTTCCTTAGTCTTGCTGTCCATTATATCAACACTGCAAATAAAATTTACATATGATTATTTTTCCAGTCCCTGGAAGATTATGAGGTGGTGAAAGTGATCAAGCCCCACAGGAATAGTTCAGTGAACCACCCTCCAGAGTCTCCCTCCTCACCCACAAAACTGTTTACACCAGAAGTGGCCTCCCTTGACCAGGCCAAGAACCATAGAATTAGTTTACTTTTCAGAGCCATTGAAAATGGAGATGTCCAACTGGTATTTAATATTTTGCTTTTTAGCTCACCTCAACGAAGTTGAAAAGAATTATGTGATACCCTCGGTGTAAAATTTCTTTCGGTGTCGGCATCGGCGTCCCAGGTTAAGGTTAAGATTTTTGGAGCAGTTTTCTTTTTAATTACTTCTGAGTCCTATATTGATTAGACATGCATGGAATATGGTTCTAGTGTGTTTCATTGTACCAGACAGAGTTTCAGATGCTGCAATTTCAGCAATGGTATGACCAGGTTAATGGTTTTGGAGCAGGTTAACATTTTTGGTGCAGTTTTTGGTGTAGGTTTCATTTCCAAGTAACTATAAGCCCTATGTTGACCAAACTTGCATGGATGATACATCTAAGGATGCATACTACCGGGCTTGCTAAAAAATGAAAGAATCTGACCTACATTTTTTGGTTGAGTGAACAGGTTAAAGTTTTTGGTGCAGGTTTCATTTCCAAGTAACTATAAGCCCTATGTTGACCAAACTTGCATGGATGATACATCTAAGGATGCATACTACCGGGCTTGCTTCGGATGCTGAATCTGACCTACATTTTCTGGTTGAGTGAACAGGTTAAAGTTTTTGGTGCAGGTTTCATTTCCAAGTAACTATAAGCCCTATGTTGACCAAACTTGCATGGATGATACATCTAAGGATGCATACTACCGGGCTTGCTACGGATGCTGAATCTGACCTACATTTTCCAGTTGAGCTAACAGGTTAATGTTTTTGGTGCAGGTTTCATTTGCAAGTAACTTTAAGCCCTATGTTGACCAAACTTGCATGGATGATACATCTAAGGATGCACACTACCAGGCTTGCCGGATGCTGAATCTGACCTGCATTTTCCTGTTGAGTGAACAGGTAAAAGTTTTTGGTGCAGGTTTCATTTCCAAGGAAGTATGAGTTCTTTAATGACCAATCTTGCATAGATCATACATCTAAGGATGCATAATACCAGGCTTGCTTATGCTGAATCTGACCTACTTTTTGTGGATGAGTGAAAATGTTAGTTTTTGATGCATGTTTCATTTCCAATAAACTATGAGCCCTATAATGAGCAAACTTGCATAGATGATACATCTAAGGATGCACACTAATGGACTTGCTTCGGATGCTGAATTCGACATACATTTTTCAGATAATAGACAAGGTAAAAGTTATGGTTGCAGGTCTATTTCCAAAAACTATAAGGCTTATATAACATTGTATAAACCAAACTTGCACAAATGCTGCATCAAGAGATGAAAACTCTCAAATTTGCTTCAGATGCTGGATTTTCATTATATTTTCATGAAGAAGAACTAGTTTAAATTTTTTATGTAGGTCTATTTCAAAGTATCAGATCAAAATTGCTCAAATTTTTCATTTTTGGAATGTATACTTTTTGTTGGTTAATTGTGTGACTTTGCCTTACTTAAAGACAACATTCGTTGAGGTGAGCTCTGTAATCTCTGATTACCTATGTTTGTTTCATGATTTAGTTAATCTGAAAAGAATTTTTAAATAACTATTAAAATTTACTTTCAACTCCATAAGATTCCCAAGTAGACAGGCTACTACAGCATATCAATAATTGGAGCTTTTATATATACATGTAACAGAATGTCCTTTACTAATTTTTCCTGCAGGTGATGTTTTATATGAAGTGGAATGACTCTGCCCCAGAGACGGGCTCCCTGTCCCCTTCCCCCAGTAGGGAGGAGCTGTGTCACCCCCTATGTCAGTGTCCAAAGTGTTCAGCCCTCCAACAGGTCAGGCTTATATCTGTAAATCATATAGGTCACTGTAATGGTAACAAAAAGAATTGGTCATTATTTATTTGATTATCATTAATGCAGAGCTATATTTAAATGTGTGTGAAATCTACAAATTACCCATTCAAAAAATATGTATAGCTAATTGCGTTAAACATTAAAAAATAGACCCATTCTTTGACATATTTCTAATAGGAGAATTGGAAGAATTGCAGTTGTAAACATGATACACGTGTCACACTAATCTAGTATTTCTAATAATTTGCCTCTCTTTTGTAGGGTTCTGTTCCATCAGAAAATGCTTTAAATGTGAATACAGCAGACGAAAAATTGTTCAGACCACTTCATAAAGCCTGCCAAGCTCAGAATCTGGAGCTTGTTAAATTGTTCATTGATAAAGGTGCTCAAGTCAATGTCCACACTAAGAAAGGAATAACACCACTACACCTAGCTGCCATAAATAAAAGTACTCAGGTTTGTATTTGTTTAATGTAAAAATTTTAATGACATGACTGCTCTAGTTGATGCTTCATTTTTTTTAGTCGGAAAATAGCTCTTCAGAGCTTATGATTTTTGTTGGTGTACCCAACTTTAAATAAATATTACTTAATTCTCTTCTTTTTCTTTGAAAATTGGCTTTGTACATGTTACTTCTGATTTCACTATAATATTTACAAATTTTATTTGTTTCCTAAAATAGTTCTTTTTGAATTCTCTATCATGATCTTAAAACTTGTAGCTGCAATGTACCTATAGGTGGCATGCAAAGAAAAGTTTATCATTCATTAGTGTTACATACATGTATTTTGTCCCTAGAGAGACTACCTTGAAATGTTTTCTTTTGATAGCTGTTCATGTATATGTAGGTGTTATATTTAGTTTAGATTTAGAATAATTGCCTAATGATTACTTAATTATGATTCTCATCTGCTGTGCACTTAGTCACTGGAAATAAAAACTCTTTCTTTGTTTAAGAAGATTAAATTACTTTATTTACACTGATTGTCAATTTTCTTTGGAATTTTATTTACGAAATGAACTGACTCATCTAACTTGATTTATTTCATGATATCAAAATTGATTATGAACATTTAGATACTAGTAGTTGTAGAAATGTAAAAGTTTAAATTAGATATTCAATTTGCCAATGGGTAAATTTTTGTGTGACACAAATATTGCCTCTGATTATAAAGAGAATATCTTACATATTGATCAGTTTTATTACATTTATCTTTATTAGATTGTCCTTCACCTTCTAAAGCACAATGCCAAGGTCAACGCCAGAGATAACTACGGTGATACGCCTCTACATCTGGCCTGTTATAAGAGCTGTAAGGATACAGTGGACTGCCTACTAATGGTAAAGATATGGAGAATTTTTTTGAAAATTAAATATCAAATGATTTTGCTGTTGGTAAATCACTGACAGTTTTCACTTTTGACATTATACTGACAGGTAGTTTCAAGGATTTCCTTTCTTTAATCATGTGATTCAATCATTGCCATTGGATGCACATGCAGTTGCTTTGGAATTTTTACCTTTTAGGAATCCAATAAAAAAACAAAACAAAAGAGAGAATTTTACTGATTCACCTGAAGGGAAAAAACATGCAGTTGATAAAGAGTATTTTAAATGTCAGAGCATGTTTAAGTCCTACAGTTTTCAACTTTGGATTTTGATATTTATGCTATCAACTTATCACAGATTGGTTGTATCATATGAACCTTGATTTGTTTAGATCAATGAACTGTTTCCTTCATTATGGTTATTTTTATGCTAAAAGTTAAGCTTGTTTGAAACAAGAATCTATATTGAGAAGTCCAAGGTAACATTTATCAATACAGAACTTTGTAATACAATGCTTTGCTTAGAGACAAATATAAATGACTCTCTTGGGGGTTGTATTTTAATCTAAGTATTTTGAGGAGAATGACAAAGTACCCAGATATATACAATCTGTAATTGTATATGCAATTAGACAGATGGGTTATGGATTTCTTCTCTAAATTGTGAATAAGTTCAGAATATGATTAACATAAGGTCAAGATCTAGTAAATGAAAGGTGCCTACAGATTTTTCAAATTTAAGAAATTAATTCCTTTAATTATTCTTTATAATTTTAGCTTGGTCAAAATAGATGTTTCAGGGCATAATTTGTAGAAAAACAAGATGAAAAACCATATTTTAAACTGTCGTTTTCAATGCAAAATTAAGAAAACCAGTATTGAAAATGGGAGTTTTTTCCATATCAGGCAAAGAAAATGTATCCAGATTGCCTACAGTTTTTCAGAAAACGGTAATTTGTATGTTCTTGTTCTTACTTTAAAATAATGTCAAATTTAGGATAGGTGTCGGGACTACTTTTCATGTGATTTCAAATTGAATTTCATGGAAATACTTTATTTTCTACATAATTCTGTTAGAGCCGTAAAGTACGGGAAAAAGAAAGTTGAAAGTCATGATTATGACGTCATAATGAATTTAGCACTGAAAAGTTATTCTAAAGTCATTTACTAGATCTTGACCTTAAGTACATGTATATAATTAACTGACAAGTGACCTTGAATTACAATTTAAATATAAACATGAGGAAGTACAGTGGAGCCTCGTTTATCCGGACGCTTTGGTTCCTAGTTAATTTGTCTGGATATGTGAAGTGTCAGATACCTGAATTACCAGTTAAACAAGATATAATAAAGTTTAAAAAATTCTGTTCCGATGAAAAATCATCCGGATATCTTAAGGTCCACTGTAAATGCCAGTAATGTGTAGATATAAACAAAAATGTTTGCCATTCTGAATATGATATTCTTTGTTTTATGGTTGCTCTACATATCTTCTTCAATTTTCTTTAATCATAATTCAGTTAAAACTTTATGTTTTGTCTTTGTCCCACGCAAGTGAGATTTTCTGATGACAAAGCTATAATAATCCAATCAGTCTTTTATTGTGCTGTGTGCAGAGTGCATGAACATCTGAATTTCTTCACATTTTATTATCAATTAAAGAACCCTCTTTCATCCTGTGGTACTGTAGACTTTTTTTTTCTGTATGGGATTTATTTCCGCTATGTACACGAACACAATTTTTCAGTGGAAGTTTGTCACAGCGTACTAAAGATTCCTTAAGGACTTATAATGACAATCCAGGATATGCATAACATCTGAATTTCTAGAAATTTTTTTTTATTAATTGACCCCGTGGAATTAAGCACTTTTACAGTATATGACATTTTTGAACTTAAATTGTAAATTTCATGTACCTTTCCTCTCGTATTTGTAAAATGGGACCATAAAATCAATAGAGGTTTGCAATCTTTAAAAATCCCTCTTTACTTTTGGACAACTACATGTACATGAAGCAGACACTTTGAGACAAATTGTGTGCATTATTACATGGACTAATTAGCCCTCAATCCGAATTGCATAATTCATTTCCCCATAAAGTCCATGTTTCAAACCCTATTTCGGTGTTAAATTGTTTATTTTTGAAAAAAAAAAAAATTCAGACTTAAAGAATTTTTTTTTTACCACATACATCCAGTAGATCATCTGTTTAATTAATTGATGATGTTTAGCAGCTACCTGTTTTCTGTACTTATGAAGTTTCAATGCACGTTTATTATAAACATTAAAATTCAAGTATTCTGTAGTTGGGGTTAAGACCCAAGAGTTTGGCCATTTGTCATTCATGGGCATTCTCAGGTAAATATAAAGGGTTATGTTTCATGTTCTTTATAAGTCTGTTCTGTTGTTGAAGATCAGATCTACAGTTATGAGCTGAGAGTTGATCCTAAAGTTATGCCACAACTGCTGTAAAATCTTTAATAATCAAAATATCAATAAAATTTTAAGTGTAAATACCTTTATCTATTATAACTTAACTTTTGCCTTAAGATTTCATTCAGTTATATGCAATACCTTCTGAAATATTCCAATAATGACAATGTAAGGTCTTGTCTTTCGATGTCACTGCACAGCAATACTAAGTGACATCAATATGATGTTTTACTTTAGTATTCATTTTCAATTCATCCATAAATCTAGTAAATGTCTCTCATATATGTTTCACTTTACTGGTCCCTGCAGACAAAGCAGGAAACATTATTGTCTTTGTAAGGCTCATTAATCATTATACAAAAATGTATTTTAGAGGAACCTCGGATTTAATTCTACAAGTGGGATTCATAATTCCCTTTTCTAAAGAAGAAATTCTTTAAAATCATATGTCAGTTTTGAATATTTTTAATATTCAAAACAAACAAAATGAATTTGAATTACCATATCTTATACTGAAAATCTTACAAACAAAGATCTCATAGTTCTCCTTTTCCTCACTAAGATATTAACAAGAAAGAAATTCAATATATTCAAGAAGAGGTGTAAATCAGATATGAATACTAAAAACTTCCAAGGAACTTTTGCAAAAATATTTTTAATATTCCAAACAAACAAAATGAATTTGAATTACCATATCAATATTGGATTCCGATACTCCTTGAAAATCTTACAAACAAAGATACAGAGGGGGTTCCAGTAAATGTTCTACCAAGTCTCTTTCTTTGCTCCTCACTAAGATATTAACAGTAGTGAAGGAGAAACTTCAAGAGTACTGTGCAACAATATATTCAAGAAGAGGTGTAAATCAGATATGAATACTAAAAACTTCCAAGGAACTTTTGGAACATTTGAAACCACAAAATTTTACCAGAATCAACAATATAAAAACTTACGACTTTTCAACTTTATATACAACCATTCCCCATGATTTATTAAAGTCCAGGCTTTTTGATATCATTGACAGCTGCTTTTTTAATAAAAATGGAACTCGTAAATTTACTTATCTTGTCATTGGTCATTAGCAAAATTATTTTGTTAAAAAACATTCTGATTCTAAACACAAGAACTCTGAAGTTGAAATTGAAAAGATGCTGGAGTTTCTGATTGACAAATCTTTGTGGTTTTTGAGACTATGTCATCCAACAATCTTTTGGAATTCCCATGGGTACCAATAACGCCCTGTTATTAGCAGACCTATTTTTGTATTCATATGAAGCAGAATTTGTCCAAAATCTTGTATATGAAAAGAAGACAACACTTACTGTGGCGTTCAACTCGACATTTAGATATATCGATGACGTATTGTCAATTAACAATGGTTATTTCCATTCTTATGTCGAAACGATATATCCTGGTGAGCTTGAAATAAAAGATACCACAGAATTTGACATACCATTTTCATATTTAGATATATTTAACTTGAAAGAAACGCTCATGGTAATCTAACAACCAAGCTTTATGATGACTTTAACTTTTCAACAAGGTACATGTACCTTCAACACCTTGATTTGATACACAAGAGCATGTTCTACCTATGAACAATTTCTAAAACGTGGTAAATTATTGACAAACAAGTTGCTAAAACAAGTATATCAGCAGTCTCATTTAAAGTCATCATTTCATAATTCTTTGGTCGATACAATGACCAAATGCTGATTGATGGTTTTCATACTGTTTGTTAGGCCATTATTTACACACTTGGTTGTCGACAATTTCTTTCCGTTATTTCCCGATCATGACAAGGAGCAAACGGCGGGTGTGACCAGTCGACAGGGGATGCCCACTCCTCCATGGTACCTGATCCCATTTCTCATGTTATGCAGGTCCGAGTTTGCTCTGCTCCTAATTTTATTGTTTAATGAACTTTTGAGCTTGAATCTGTTCGTTAATAATTATTTCCATATATTTCATGTACACCCTAAAGCTACTTTGAGCTATTTCATAAAAAATATTTTAAATCCCTATAATGCATTAGCATATTTATTTGGCTGTAGGTACTTATGTGTAGATTAAGTATCGGATTTCAGAAATGTCTTGGAATGCTTTTTCTCCACACACTTTCTTCTCTCTGGCATCTGTCTACCTTTCGATTTCCATTTACCATCTTTGTTACAGTGTTATGAAAAGCATTTTAAAAAATTCTTTAATGATAAACATTTCTCTTATAAGTAATCGATGAGTGAATGATTGGACATTTTACGTTACCTGAAGTTGTCTCTGACGGTACATAAAATCTGCGAAAAGGGATTGAATTTAGAAATAACATTTTGACATAGTTCAAATAATGTTATATGTACAGCTAAAATCAAGACGCTTTATAGTAAAATGAGAATAAATGTTATTAAAAAGAATCAAGGGAGAGATTAAAAAACTTTAAGCAGATAAACTGAAATTGAGTGCCGAACAATAAGCATCATAAAGGAGCGGACGTCGGCAACACTCTTGCTTCAAGCGGCGATAAACAAACCCTAGCATTAACTTTATTACTCTAATATGTTTAATAGTATTGAAATTCTTAGGCTAAATCAAAACACACCGGGGCATCTATATGTAAAATTTTATTCATAACATTCGATATCTTAAGGATTTTACTGCAGTTGTGGCATTACTTTTGGATGAACCCTTATTTTTCTAATGAGCCCAATGTTATCTTTATAAGTCGGTTTTGTTTGCCTATAAAGTCAAAAGTCAGGATGCATTTAGGCTCTTTATGTTTCACTATAATTATCCTGTTGTGCATTTGTCAGTTTTTTTTCTTTGAATCCAGGCACGTAGCATCGTTTTTGAAAGTGGGAGGGGGGGGGGCAGCCAGACAATTTTTTTTTACTTACCTGGAAAGGTTGACAAGAAAAAAAAAAACAACAAAAAAACAAAAAACAACCATTGCCCAAACTCGAAAATCCTATTTCGTGAGGAGGAGGAAGGGAGGGGGGTTGAGGCCAACTTTTTTCAGATGCTGACTTCTTTCAGTACCAATTTTTTTGCATACAATACTGCATTTCCCTTATATTACTTTACTGCAGTTTTAACTAAGGGGGGGGGGCTGTATATCAGTGAACATTTTCAATAGTAAAAGTACTGTTGGGAAAAAGGGGGAGGGCTGGCCCCCCTGTTGCTACGTGCCTGGAATCTATGTGCATGAAATAAGGTGTGTAGATTCAGAGATCAAATATACTAATAATTAATCTTGATAAGATTTGTTGTATCTCTGCATTTTTCTTCGTGATTTAGGAACAATTTATATAACCTTTATATAACCCTGTTAACATCAATAATTATAGCAAAGACATTGAAGATGAGTATGAACAAACATTTTTGCGCTATGACTAATTTTCAGACATATTGCGGTTTAGGTTTGTCTTTATGAATGTAAAGCAATTTAGTCTATGATTACTCAGAATGTAGATTTCGTTATATTTCCTAGAGGTTCTTGATTTGAATTTCAAATATTTTATCTGCACAAATTTTGTCCAATTCTTGGATGACCTGTTTGCCTTTGGTTAATATTGAAATCGTTCAGCATTACGTAGCAAACTCGAAAGAGAAATTACATAGATTAATTTACATTTTTGTCAGCTGCAAGTGTTGCTGTTGTGAAATTAAAGTTGTACTTGGAAGATATAATTTGCATTCTCTAAAGGGTTACATTTAATAAATTTTTTACCGTAGTCGGTAATATTATTTAAATTCTCATTCCAAAACTCACAGTAATTTGTCCCCAAGTTCTTGTGTGGCCTATAGAAATTAAGGTGCTATTAATAAGCATAAAAAACCGTAATATACTAGTAATTGCAAATACCACCTCATAAGTAGATCCTGTAGGTATAATATTTATTACAAATTATCTTCATCTTTTGCAATTTTTTTGTATAGTTATCAAACATTAGCAAATGGTAGCTTATTCATAAAATAGATGATTATTGTACCCATGTAAATATTTCTGTGATTGGTTATAATTACACGTGCGCATGTCCTCTATCACTAGCGTGAAATATAAAAAAAGTAAAGATAGGGCCTAACGAACAGCGGTGGACCTAACAAAAATCCACAAATAATATAAAATGTGTTAAGAGGGGCATAAAACACGGACCTCTGGAAATTCCAGAAGTGGGATCAGGTGCCTAGGAGGAGTAAACATCCCCTGTTGACCAATCACACCCTCCGTGAGTCCTGTGTATATTGATCAGGCAGCCGGAACTTTCCATAGTCAAACTCAGTATAAAGAAAAAAAAAAGGCCTAACAATATGAACAACGTCAGCCAAAATGAGACCCAAATGCAAATAATGTCTTTATAAAGACCAGAGAAATTACGAAAAGTGTGTTTTAATTTTGCATGCTGATTTAATTAAAACTGATATTTCACTCATTGTTGTGCTATTGGTTTTAATTAGCGAATTAGTAATCGTGTTCTCCTGTTAAAAACTAGTTTCCCTAACTGGAACGGAGAGATGCCTTTTAAAAAGCAATCGTGCTATTTGTTAATTATATGTAAGTAAGGGAATTAGATTTCGCTCACCAGTTTTTTGGTACCTGATTAGATGGAGAATGTAAAAAAAGTCAGCTAAAAATAAGTTCATTGAAGAATAATAGATAAAGGAATGCTTTGTAGTTCAGGAGAGAGAGAGAGAGAGAGAGAGAGAGAGAGAGAGAGAGAGAGAGAGAGAGAGAGAGAGAGAGATGAAGCTGTGGAGCTTTTGGCGGAAGGGGCCTATCCATTAGCCAAAAATAAAGAAGGCCTCACTCCTTTTGATTTAACTAAGGTAAGAGTTAATTTGGTTTTGAAAATTTTCTACTAGGTGGAAATTTAATTTTGAAAAATTATTCTTACATAGGGATAATAAATGGAAAATTAATACCGATATTTTACATACAAATTTATCTGCAAACATAAAAATTAACACACATTGGAAACAAAAATAATTTTCTCCAATATTTATCGATCGAAATACTGGTAGCTATACCAAATTCACATCTGGAACAATTTAAAAATTTGGAGGAAAAATACGCACTTTATAGTAATTGTGTCATTACTTTCCGATCCCTCGTAAACCGATTGCATGCCACAATTTAGCAAAATTATATTAACCCCCTCCCCCTTCCTCTTCTCTCAGATAGAAGAATATATATATACAATGTACCAACATTCATACAAGACATTTGACGTAATTTACTCGTAAGTTACATTGTAAAAAATATACTTGCAATTGAATTTGACTTATCTAGCAGCACAGAAATCAAAATTTAGGAAACACTACTTCTTTCCCTTGTTGATTCCAAAAAAAGTAAACAAGGAATACTTCCAAAGATTAGGGTGCCTGTACAGTGATATAAAGGCAGTCACAGTTTATTTTAAAAAATGAAATATGATTGAACAATCATTGAAAATAAGTTGCAAAGTCAATCTTTAGTCAGTCAAAATTTCATTTTGTTATACCCTTATAAATAGCTTTCTTTATATTTATTACTAATAAAAAGTCCAACAAAAGAAATGTTTATTACATCGGTCTAACAATTTCATTGTTGACTGGCTTGCCGGTCCAACATCAGAATTGTTAGACCGCAACGTCACTGCTACGTCACAAGTAATTAATTATCGTTCAATATCGGCGACACGGAAATAGCCGAAGTTAAGACCTGCAAGAGTTGTTGCTACCAGCAAAGTAAGGTAGAAGAGAAGAGTATGTTTTGTAATAAATAATTTTTGTGATATAATAAAAATATAATTAATTTTATTCTTTCTCAGCTATTGTTTTATATTTTCTGATTAAGCCATAATTTTCCATATAAAGTAATGGATAATATAGTGTGTATTGATTAAAACTTAAATGAGCACTGAAGGGTATAACAAAACAGTTATAGATTTGGATTCGGGAACATATGATTTGTTGGACCTGAAGGTGAAAATGTTGCCCGAGGCCTGCGCCCTCGGGCAACATTTTCACCTTCAGGTCAACAACAAACATATGTTGCCCTCATACCCAGTCAATAACTACGATGGCCGATATCAGCCATGACAGTCTACATACAAATTTAAGGGTAGCGTGTCAGTGAATTGTTTTACATGGCAGTCTAACCTTAACGCAAAGTGACAAAATGTACAAGCTGTCATTTGGTGATGTCAAGTTTCTGTGGCAGGACACGCTTTTCTTTTCGTAAAAAGTACAGCGTGTCCATACAACTTTGCTTGATGACACTTTACACTTAAGTGCAATTGAAATACTTTATATTCAAAAAATAAATAAATGAATAAATAAAAACAAAAAGATAAGATCAACCAACCAGCATGGGGGAACTTTTAACACTGAGAAAGTTCAGATTCTGAGACTTTATTGCGGTCGCGATCGGGGCCGAAATGATTATTAACATAATATATAATCTTTAAAGTAAAAAAATAAATAAATAATAACCAATTTTCTAAAATTCTTTTAATATGGCATTGCTTGCAGGTGTTATCTACCCTCTTAGTATTCTGAGGATTCATTTCGTCATCCATTTTGTTGATCAAAACTTGAAAACTTTGTGAAAAAAATTCTCAAAGGAATGCAATGATATGTGATTGGTTGATTGATTGATTTTATACGTCCAATTCAAGAATTTTTCACTCATATAGAGAAGTCACAATATACCCGTGATGGGCTCCAAAAGTTGACCTTTACTTGACACTCAGGGCCATAGATTTGAACATATTTTATTATGTAATAAATACATAAATGAATTAGGCAGCAGGTATAGCCACAGGTACAGGTATAGCCACAGGTACAAGTTTAATCAAAATACATTATACTACATATAGTTAAAGGTTCATACATGTATACATATCACCAATAAGTTAAGTTAAAGTTAAGTAACACAAAATTGGATGGACGCATATGTTAACATCGTGACCGCAATAAACATGATAAAGTTCTCAGAATCTGAATTTTCTCAGTGTTAATAGTTCCCCCATGCTGGTGGGTTGATTTCATCGTTTTGTTTTTATTTATTCATTTATTTATTTTTTGGGATATAAAGTATTTTAATTGCACTTAAGTGAAAATTGTCATCAAGCAAAGTTGAATGAACACGCTGTACACTTTACGAAAAGCAAAGCGTGTCCTGCCACAGTAACTTGACATCACCAAATGACAGCTTGTACATTTTGTCACTTTGTGTTAAGGTTAGACTGCCATGTAAAACAATTCACTGACTCGCTACCCTTAAATTTGTATGTAGACTGTCATGGCTGATATCGGTCATTGTGAATAACTGTATATCAATGTCACTTCTAAATACATGTATAGGAAAAGCTATATTTTGTCGAGTGCAGAATGCAGTTCTCTTTGATATTCAAAAACTGTCTCCGTTTTTCGAGGTTATCTTACAACAGTTGTGAGTAATGACAAAGTTGACAGTGCCTATATATCCCATAGCTGGTGTATTGAACTGATTTTTTTCAAACACCATCAATTGACGCAGATATAAAATAGATATAAAAGTTTTATACATATATATACTTTTGTACCTAAAATAATCTAAGTAAATTATTCAGTTCACAGTGAAAAAGTACAAATAAAGGAGATAGCAGCCACGCAACAATATTTGGCATTTGATCTTACCAATACCAATTAAAAACGACACATTCTGAAAAGCTACGAAATCGGAAATTTGATAATTTTTAAAACGTGGTTATGCTAAATTGGAAACAGCGACAAAGGTTGAAGCACGTGACAAATTATATGACAGTTAGTGCGTTATCTTACAGTACTTGAGTGGAGCTACAATAGAATTAGGCGACAGACGTGTTCCGACAGAGGAGAAAAAAAGGCCCGTAGAAAGTTTTATGTAAATCATTTTTAAGTATAATTTCTGTCGCCCTAATTAAAATATATCCCTTCTACCGGCTAAACCCCTGTCGGAAATGCGGTTGATGAACATCGTTAAATTCGGTTCATTCGCATCGGTTTTGTAACAAACAAGAAATAGGTTAATGCTTGAACAAAAAAATCTTTATTCTTTCATTATTTGAGCAGATAGAAACATTAATGGTGATAAAATAACAGTGTTGCGACATCCGCTTGATTAGTCATGTCAGAGGTGTTATGGAATCGGTGGGAAATTGATCTAATATTGTTGAAGGAAATTTCATCTTAAACCAATGTTCTAGCAATTTGTCTTTCTGACGTAGCGCAAGTAGTCACTTCCTTTATGATCCGATGTCCAACATGGTAGACGTTGCTGTAAATTAATTCTTTGCCATCGAAGTTGTAGTAAATCTCTCTGATGAATGGAGTTTTTGTATCTTCCTTTGACCGCGATGATAGTCCAGTGGCGTATCTACCGATGCGGTTACCACGATTATTCAGCCTCTCATTATCTCTTGTGTTCGGTTTCGGTCTGTAAAAGTAGATAAAATAATGATCCGAGTAGTACCATTAGTTTTCCGGGATTAAATTGTCCTTCCCGCCAAGTTCCGCGATGAACAGGGGTTTATAGATTGGGCAGTCAGTGTTAATTAAGGTTCATGTGTTCAACATGAAAGTCTATAAAACGGAGTACATGTATGTCACAGTATTTGAAGTTTATTATATTGTAGATAAAGAACTGGAAACAAGCGACAAATATTTCAAATAGAAAATTCGTTTTAGATTATATTATTTTAAAAGCAGGGATCCAGACTGTACTCTAGATTGAAATAAGATAAAATAGATTTTTTTTAAAGAATGAAATTGAAAGAGCAGTTTAAGACTGTCAAAGAAGAATACAGATTCACAATATTTAGATTTGATGAAAAAAAAAATAATCAAGCAATTTAGGTTATCGAATATTTAAAACTTGTGTTTCACATGTAAATTGAGATATTCGTTAAAAATATAATTGCAAAACTTTATTTTACACTTCTTGCCAAATTTCATGAAAATCAACAATAGCCAAAGTTGGTAAGCAATAAGAAACTTTGCCTGACTTAGATTCAGAATTTTTAAATACCGATAATCTTGTCAATAAAAAGGGTTAACCGTGTGTAAACTGGTAAAAAGGAAAAAGGTTAGACCTATGATACTGGCAATACAAAAACTAACAACAGTTTTATAACGGGGTTTTAATACTTTTTTTTGTGTTAACCGTTGAAGAAAGCATACTTTTATTTTTCAAATTGTGTTTTTTAAATTCTTATTTGAATTTAAAGATTGTACTTTTTGAGTTTCAAATCGGTGATTGTTCTACTTATGCAAATTGTAATTCGATGCTTTTTTATTTTTTAAAACGTGAGGTATTTAGTTAGGTTCATATTGATGAAGAATCAAATTAATTTGTAGATTTAAAAAAAAAAAAGATGAATGATACCTTACATATGAGATTATGAACTAAAGCCCAGTTAGGCCTATTGCTTCTGTCATAATAATGAAATGTAGCGTTATAATTGCCAAAATTAAAAGCTTTTCCTGTTAAATACATTATAACTGATATGAAATTAAGAATTGTATGATTAACTCTAGAAAACAGAGGATGGCTCTATCATAAACCATTTCTTTATCTAATACTCATTTATTAATAAGAGGATCTCATCTAGGTGTTAATATTAATGATTAACAAGAAAATGAAGATAATCATGTGCTATCAGTATAATATTATGAGGAGGATTGTCTGCAGTAAAATCGTAAACAAGCTGTGCCGAAAAATAATCACAACTGCTTTCTAACATTTTCCTTACTCTTTAATAACATATTTCATTAATATCCATGGCAAATTTAAAAAAAATGAAGGAAAGGCCCTGACATTTTCTAAATTACAGCAAAATGATAGTGAATTAAAGTGTGATGAATTTTACCCAAACTTAATTTTATACTCTTATATCGAAATAAAACTCAAATTTTACCCTAATTGTTTGGTTGTGTGCAACTTAAGATCAAACCCTGTATATTTCCACGTAAATTAAATCCTTATTTTTGCCTGTAATTTATCAAAAAACTTGAAGATGGAAAATTATTTTATGTAACCATAGGATGACAATGCTAACATTTTTTTCTACACCTATGAACTTTTCTTATTTGCCCGTACTGTTTGTAAAAGGAACATTTACACTAAGTTTGAGTTTTAAGACAAACCTTAGATGTTAAATTAAACACTTTCTTTAATCTTAAAATTGTGTAAATCAATGCCTATTACCAAGGTACTCAGTATATATTATAAAGCATTTTCCTCGTCTATGTAGGTTTCCCGAATCCGTGACCTTCTAAATGCACATATCACAAAGAGGCAACTTTCTACAACTTCTCCAGAGGCAGTAACAAAGAGGGACTCGAAAGGTGAGAACAATCGATAATTTCTTCCTCTGACGCAAAATACGATAAAACTTACCAAAAAATGACTCCCTAGTTTATATGAAAAATTGCTAACGTAGGGAAAAATACTTAATCAAATTATTAACTGCCGTGTTTGTTTCCCTAGGACCACCGGAAGCCCCAGACAGTATACAAAGTTTATTTGCTGCGTTTGAAGAGAGAAGTCGGGAAAATTTACAAACCCTGACCTCGTCCATCAAAAGCGTGGATAGGAGGGAAAGTTTAAAGCAAACACCAGTCGTTAACGACAGAAGTAGTCCTAACTTGCGTTTTCTCAGACATTCCTTGTCTATCCAGAATTTTGATTTGAGCGGACTTCGACATGTTGAGTCATTGGACAGAAGTGAACCCTTGCATATTTATAGATTAGTCATGAATGTGAATTCCAACAATTCAGAAAATAGATTAGAAACAACTTCTGAAAATTCCGAAGTTGAAGATGATGTGTTTTCAGGAAGTGAAGTCGGGAATGATCAAGAGATTAATGTAGAAAGTACTGAAAATGTGAATAGTACATGCCATGTCAAAATTGACATAGATGAACCCATACTGACCAGCCCTGATTTGCCAAGAAGTACCCAGTTACAAGAAAGGGTGGAGGGCAATACGGACTCTGATACAAATATCAATGATAGTAGTGTTACATGAAAAAATAAAACAAAATAAATTGACAATTTGATTGTGAATTAAGATGCCGTTATTTATTTTTAAGCAGTAGAGGGTGATGTATTTATCAGTATTTTTTAATCTAACTTAATGAATTTTAAAGCAATAAATTGTTTGTTAATAAATTTAAAAGATTTTAAATTGGTTTATTTTTACATTAAATAAAAAAAATCAATTGAATCATATTCTTTTTGTACTGTATGCATTACATTAATGAAAAATTTTAAATTACCCGTGTTTTTGCTCCAAAAAGGTTTTTCATGGCAACAGTAAATATTCTAAAAGTGACCACTAAGAGCAGTTCTAGACTACTGAAAGATTGAGGTGAAATACAAATATAAATAAAGGAAAGGGCAAGAAAATTTTTGGTATAAAAATAAAGTGAAAAAGAAGTCATCGTTTAAGGTATATGGAGAAAACTACAAAAGTACAAAAGAAAGAAAACGCTGTTCTTACGAAACGAATTAATCTTTCTTCTTCCATAGCACTATTACATTTCTAAATGCAGAAATTAAAATTTCAGTAGGAGATTTAGCTCCAGGAATTGGAATAAAGTTTAATTTTAGTCTTATGTAAATTTGGTGTTTTATTACGAAGTAAACTAAAAATTTGGAGTTATAAGTACTTTGGTTTTGTCATCGTGAAAAAGAATAATCTTGGACAATTTGAACTCCGACCATTTCAAGGCAATTATTCTGACTTATGATATATTGACCCTCTATCAAGAAGAATACATTGCACAAGAATTAAGACATTCCTAAAATGCTAAGCTAGAATACTGTTATCAATGCATCAAATTCTGTTTCTTCAAATTTGATGAAAATCTTAATTAATAGAGCAAACTTTCATGTGAGTATACGGAGGGTTATTGACCTTTAAATCTAATTTGTTTCATGATCCTGAAGCAGCATCTAAAATTAAAAAAAAAAAAAGCGGAAACCTTTAGGAAACATTTTGTTCTCCACAGAATTTGATTAAACTTTGAAAATAATTTTTAGATAAAGAAGGCGGTACCTTCAGGTAACTTTTTAAAAAAGTAGAACTGTAGAATAAAATCATGAAAAGGTCATATCAAGTTGCCGTACTATTATTTCAATCACCCACCCTAATTTATGTGGATAGCACACTGTTGAGACACCGTCTATTTCAGGTGAGAAGTACATGTATAATTAATATAAGGTATTCTGGATAGGTGGGATAAGTATAAATTTTTGTTGCAAACTAGCCACCAGAAATACGTTCTGAAAAGCACTTATACCTTATTATTTCATTAAATGTTTACAAACTTGTATGGATTTTGTTCTTGTAATGTAATGACATGTCCCATGGAGGGAATTGAAAAACACTTTATTTTTTAGAAGGTAGATGTAAGAACATTGACCTTGCTTCCAAAAAGCTTTCATATTTGTATGCTCTTCTCTTCCACATGTTTAAGTTGTTTTCCAGACTAAAATCCAGACGTTAATTTTAAAAGTAAGTAATGCTATCCGAACTTTCCATCTATCTCCTCTGAACTTGGTTTTTATGAAATATGTACTCTGCTGTTTTCCAGACTCAAATCCTGGAAAGGCTACATTAAAAAAAATATCTCAAGTTTTTGTCTTATTCCCATGAAATTAATTTTTTTAAAAATAAAATTTGTACTTAAATTAACATTTCCAACCCCCGCCCATGATCATGAGCTTTTCAGGAACATTATTTCCTTATTAAAATTTATAGCTTTTGATTTTTTTCTCTCGTTTCTTACTTTGTCTCCTATAATGACTTCATTATGATTACACTATTGCCAAGTACACGTGAACTAGTGCTTGAATGAAAATTCTTTTTTTTCCCCTTTCCTTTCAATTTCGTCGTTTTATTTTATCTTGAAATTTTTTATGCTGTTACTGTGTTAGATATTTGTTACCGAAAGAAATTTTGATATATATATAATTGTCGCACTTTAATTGAGGGTACAAGTGCATTCGTATCTTGCTTTAAGTTCTAAAATTTCTACTTTGGTAATAATTATTGATATTGTTTGAGCTTTTATTCGATTATTCCATATATTAGAGACGTTAGACTTGATGCCCCCCTTTTTTATTGGATTCTTAGTGTTACTATGGTTTTTCTCAGCAGTATTTAATCGGATAACCTAGGAATTCGTTCCAGAATCTTAATGCAATCATAACTCTTTTTTGTATTCTGACAACAGATTTACTGTGACTTTGACATTTTGATTCATTATGACCAGTTGGTATTAAACTTGTTATTACATATTAGTATTTTGTTCTTAAGAATGATAAAAATACGAATTAAGCACCCACTTGGCCACGAGAAAATTAACTAATAATATTTCGAGATAAAATCAAGTTCTCGGCATTTATACTTACTAGGATTGGCTTATGTACTATAAATGTATCAGACATATAATAAACTTTTGCCTTAAGCGATGGAGGGGCAAAATGAAAACCAACTATCCTGCTGTGTTCAATAATCAAGAAGTGAAAAAAAGAATTAGATATATTACACGATTTGTACAATGTACGTACTGGTCCCTGCTGACAAAACAGGTGAGAACATTGTTTATGTTAAGGCTCATTATTTAAGTTATATTTTATTGTCCCCCGCTTGAAAAGTGGGGGATATTAATTTGGGTTTGTCCGTCCGTCCGTCCGTCTTTCTGTCTGTCTGTAACGCTTTCGTTTCCACACGATATCTCGAGAACCCTTTGAGCTTTTGCAATGAAATTTAGCATAGCAACTCCCTATGGACTAAAGAAGACCCCTATTGATTTTGAGGTCAAAAGGTCAAAGGTCAAGGTCATAAATAAGCAAATTCTATCTGTTAAAACACTTTCGTTTCCACACGATATCTCTAGAACCATTTGAGCTATTGCAATGAAATTTTATATAACAACTCCCTGTGGCCTAATGAAGACCCCTATTGATTTTGAGGTCAAAAGGTCAAAGTTCAAGGTCGTAAATTTATACATTCTGTCTGTGTGTAATACTATCATTTCCGTACGATATTTCAAGAAGAATTTGAGCTTATGAAATGTAATTTTATACCAAAACTCGCTAGGACGTCTCTCGCCCCTCTCAAAGTGCCCCGCCCTGTTTGTTTTATTAGTATTTATAGTATTACATGTCGCTATTTTTAGCTCAGGGGCATGAGGAGAGTTATTGCGTATAAAACAGGTTCTCGGCGGACTTTATGTTCTTATTACATCTATTAGAACTGTTTAATAAAGGCTAAATAAATCAAACACCATGGATTGTGTAAAATTTTGAGAATACCGAACATGAAAACATGAATATATACATGTATGTGACTTCAGTTCTGCATATACCTCGCACCATGTAAAGCGATTCCGTGATCTAGTGGTTATGTCTCTCGCTTCAAATGTGAGAGGACCCAGGATCGATTCTCGATCGATCCTTTTTTTTTTTTTTTTTTTTTTTTTTAAATACTTTTTTTTTTTTACTAAATGATAGTATTCAGCATGTGAAATGAAAAATTTATGAGGCTATAAAATCATCATTACAGTGTGATAAACATTCCATATAAAAAAATCTTGTATACACATAATAAAGAATAAGCAATCAAATCTTTATATGCATATTGACATACATGTATTTTATTTGCTTCAGTATACATATATACATTTAATAATTCTACAAATTCAGTCAGGGGGAGCCGACTTTTTCCCTAAGCGGGGGACATGAATTCTCTGAATTAGCTTGTAGGATTTAATTCTACATCTGGTAATCCAACTTATACACAAATCTCCCTTCATAAGGAGGAAATTCTTCAAAATCCTATCTCAATATTGAATATTTTTAATACTAGTATTCCCAACAACAAAAATGAATCTGAATTACCATATCTATATTGGATTCCCAAACAACAAAAAAATTCTGTCAACCAAAGATACATAGCGAGTTCCATTAATGTTCACCACGCTTCTTTCTTTACTCCTCACTAAAATATAAAGAGTAGTATAGGAGAAACTTCAGGAGTACTGTGCAACAATATATTAGTAAAATGGTGTTCTTCAGATGTGGACACTTACATTTAAAAATTCTTTAGAAAAAATTTGAAATAATAAAATTTTACCAAAATTAACAGCATAAAAACTGACGATTTTAAAACTTTTTATACAACCATTCCCCATGATAAATCGAAGTCCAGGCTTTTTAAATATCGTTGACAGCTGCCCCCCCCCCCCCCAAAAAAAATGGAAATCATCGTAATATACTTACATTGTCATTGGTCCTTTGCAAAATTATTTTGTAAAAAAAAAAAAACATTCTGATTTACACACTAGTACTCTGAAGTTGACACTTAAAAGATGCTTGAGTTTCTGATTGATAATGTCTTTGTGGTTTTTGCAGACCACTTCTTACAACAATCTATTGGAAATGCCACGGGTACCTTTTATACCACCGTTATTAGCAGAATTAATTTTTGTATTCTTCTGAAGCAGAATTTGTTCAAAATCTTATAAGTAAATCAATGAAACACTTTACCTATCGACTGTCGTCAACTCGACATTTAGATATATCGATAATGTTCTGTCAATTAACAATGGTTATTTTTATTCTTAAGTCGAAACGATATATCCTGTTGAGCTTGAAATAAAAGATATCACATAGGCTGACACATCTGTTTCTTATTTGCATATTTCACTAGAAAAAGACATGAATCGTAATCTTACACCCAAGGTTTATGATAGATGTGATGATTTTAACTTTTCAATCGGCAATTTTCCTTACTTATGCAGAAATATACCTTCATCACTTGCACAAGGGGTTTTTAATATCTCAGTTGATTTGAAATGCAAGAGCCTGCCCTACGTATGAACAATTTCTAAAAGGAGGTAAATTATTGACAAACATGAATATCAGCAGTCTCCTTGAAAGGCATCATTTGTAAATTCTATGCTCGATACAATGACAATGTCAGCAAAATATAATCTATCGATAAGTGAAGTGCTGACTGACGATTGTTCAAACTAATTGTTAGGCCATTATTAACA